ACTGTCAGCAGTCGACCATTTTACACAAATATCGCCCTAACAGAAATTAATTACAAAATCAGCCACCTTCTATAAATATTTACGAAACGAATACCCGAATTTTACACAAATAACACCCAAACAGAAATTAATTACAACCAGACGATGCATACTCTCGAAATTCACCACTTTATAATTTCTTAAATTTAGCCCTTAAATTCGAGTGTTACAATTCTCCCCTCCTTAAAAGAATTTCTTCCTCGAAATTAATTCTTGTCACATTATTGCAGAAATAAAACTTCCATTAGTTCTCTCATATCTTTAAGTAGCTTTTACAAAAGTACAGATCATCCACTAATCCTTAACCTGTTGAGTATACATTCTTATCATAACTTTTCCTTATTTCAATAAAAGAATCCGAATGAAAATTTCCTTGAGTAATCAATTCAGTCTTTGTCATGAGAATAGACTCATAGAGCAGTAGCATACCCCAATTTCATTTCCGGAGTCGAGTCAGAATTTTTCAGATAAATAACTCTCACATGGCTCATTAGGTACATCACTACGTTTATATAGATATTACTGGTATTTTTTTTTGTACAAGTATAGCCTTAACGAATAGAAACTTCGGTTTACTCGTTACAGATAGAGACTCAGTCCTGGAGTTCCAGCTCAGAGAGGTACGATTCTAGTCTAGGGGTATATATTGATCAGACATCGTTTAGAAAATCGACCGGTCGGTCTATCTTGAAAAAAAATTTGACTCAACCATAGCTCTGATACCACTAAATATAAACTCCATCCGATCTGGAGTGTCACATTAGGGCTACCGGAGCGACCCATTGTAAAAATAGCGGAAAATTTAAACTTTTATTAAAACATGTAACTTATAAAATGATTTATCAGTATACATAAATAAAACAAATTTTCAGACTCAAATATTAAAACAAAATACAATTACTTGCCCCCTAATCACATGTACCATACTCTGCAACAACACTGGAAGAACTCCCTTACTGATGTCGATAATTGTACTGGTACAATTCTTTTAACCTGCAATATTGAGTAATAGAGTGAGCTTCGGAAAGCTCAGAAATACAGAACGACCAGATGATGCTGAAGAACTTGCAGATACAGATAAACATACATTTTCTTATTGGTTCATATATCTACAGATTTTTAGGCTGAGTTGAGGTCCATTGATATCGCAGGTAGTAACAGATAGTATTCATTTCAGATGAAAATATTTCGGATGTCTAGGTTCCGGAGATCATAATAGGTTTTCTAGTGTGTTCCCGTAAAACCAGTAAAAAAATACAGATCTTTTAAAACATATATATATATACCCCAATCCGTTCACATCATAAATGTATAGGTTCCCCATAACTATACACCCAACCGCACATGCCATTTAGACCCTGAGCACAAAGCCGAGGAGTCTGCAAATAATCTTCCTCCAACAATAAACCCTCAGATAAAACATTTCTCCGTCGGTAAACGGAGATATCAAAAATCAAAACATAATTCAGATCAGATATCATAACAGAATCCAGGTTAGGAATAAGAACAGATTTCAGATCAGATGACAAAACAGAATTCAAATCAGAAATCAGATAAAATATTCATATAAGTAGGGAACACACTAGAGTTTCCAGATATTATTTAGAGATACATGATAATCTTATCGAGCAGAGAAACACAAATCTTCAGTTTACCGATAGAATGCCGAAAATTAGAATCACTATTAGAAGAGTTTGTTAACTGACAAAATCATCAATTATTCATAATATGCTTATCATGATTATCTTATTCGGACATTTATTGGAAGCTCTACGTAATCCGAAGGGATTCAAAATCCTTTACATATGAGTTACTTACGTTTTCATACATGACTAGAGTGATTTGAGCTGATAAGGAATAACGAAGATTCAGGGCCTTTACAATCTATGTTGATTGATCAAATTATCGAACAACTCCAGATGAATATTTCCCAGAATATTCTTATCAATAGATCCCCTTCTGAGTCATCACTGAACAGATCTTAAGGAGACTAACATATATTCTAATGGTCTTCATTTCATTTCCATGTGTCAACTATATCAGGAAATACCGACGTACATGATTTATGGTCCATAATCCATAGGGATGATACATCACATAAGTTCATCCGAGTTTTCAGGCTTATTCCAATCTCTTACTTAATCCTCAATCCTTGAGGTTACCTAGTTCATTTAGCAGTCAAGTCTATTCCAACTACTTCGGAATTTTCCAGAGTAATTCCAGACATTTCTGAATTTCGGATACGTATTGTACTTCCTTTTTGTTCAGTTCGGTCTTCGTGTTGATTTGTCGAACAAATAGAAAATTCTTAGTATTGAATGCGATCTAGAGTTGTTGAGTAGAATATTTCCAAAATTATCATCGAACCAAACTTGAGAAGACGAACACGCGTTCAAATAATATATATGTCGTTCAGGTACTAACATATCATTAAGGTTGATCGACTCATTTAAGTTGTGTTCCGTAACTTTTAAGGGTAGTACAACACCCATATTTACTTGGATTCCTTAATTAATTTAAAACATCTACTTAGTCTAGGCCATAAGGGTATTTTGGTAATTATGGTACTCTGTTTTATTCCATTTATTTCAGAGCGCGAAGATATCCAATCATTCATGAGCTTGGTGATATTCTTGAGTCATTTCCATTATAGGGGTATTTTGGTCATTTTATAGATCTACGGTATTTCAATATTTTCCTTCCATCCGATCTTATTATTTAATTTAATCTTATCATTTACTTCAGTCATTTCAAACAATTCTGATAAAAGAGCACAATTGATAAATCATTCTTCATGTATTTACTTATAACTCGAATATTTTCGAGTAAAGTGCCTTATCAGATTTTACAAACGAAATATCATGAATTTTTCTGCACTAAGTCAGGATCTTATCAATCAAATTTGTACTTAATCGAGTTAAGTACAAATCCTCAAAGTAGTTTCTCATTCAGGGTCAACTCGGACTATTTTACCTCTCAGGGGTATTTTCGTAATTTCCTAACCAGATATTATCTCTTAACAAAAATAATTATAATTTAAAGATCATATGGTCAATTGCTTTCCCGAACATTCTCTTATCTTGAAATTATTCCTTAACAAACTTCTAACATCTTGCGCAAGTCCTTTTTGGCGTTAAAAACCAGTTATCCAAATTTTCTAAACAAAACTATCATTTCTTATGCACATCTGTAATTATATTGGATCAATATGTCTTTTCAGAGTTATTAACCATCTTCCAGAGACAATTCTTGTCATCCTACAATATAAGGGTATTTTCATAATTTTACCAAATCGAAATATTCTCATAATTTATCCAAGTACCTTTAATGAGATAAATTATAATCTACATATCCATGGTTGATTCCTTTATCACTTAATTCCATAACTTGAAATTTAATTCCAACTGTCCTCCAATTTTTATAATAGTCATCTGAGCCATATTCAGATACCGAGTTTTTACTATATTAGAATCAAGTGTATAACTTCATTAATTACACATATTAGACCAAACAGTTACATTCATGCATTTACCAATATTCACATGTTCCATAAAGCATAAAGAGGTAGTAAAGTATTATCTCGATTTCCGTGTAATACTGATCGACCATTAAATTCCATTCGAACGCCCTCGATCTTGAAATCATTTTCCAATATTTCCTCGGATCCATATCAACAGAAATTACATAAAAAACGGAGCTTACTTTTGAAAAACGGATCGAATCGGATGATAAATTAGTGAAAATAGCTTACTGGGTTTGAATTTGGCGAAACAGACTTCGGATTCGGATTCACGACGACGAAAGCATAAAATATGACTTTTCGAAAATTTGAAATTTTTGGTCAAAATCAAGGTAAACGGGTTTGACTGGCAATTTCGAGGCATTCGAGTCTGAATTTCGAAAAACAGACTACAGAATCGGATTTGGAACATCGAAAAACGTCATGATAGGTATACGCGGTCAAAATCAAAAGTCGTTTAATGCTCGGTCAATGTTCTGGTCAACTGTGGTCAACGCCGGTCAACGTTCAACAGTCGACCATTTTACACAAATATCACCATAACAGAAATTAATTACAAAATCAGCCACATTCTGTAAATATTTACGAAACTAACACCTGAAATTTACATAAATAACACCCAAACAGAAATTAATTACAACCAGACAATGCTCACTCTCAGGGTTGGCGCGTGGGGCGCGTGAACAGTAACACGGTGTCGGAAAATTCTCGGAAAAATTCCTAAAAATTATTTTAAGACATTTTGAGACACTTACCAAACTCGGTTCACAATTTTAAACGGCGAAGAGCTCGATTCCGAAACGTCAGAAACTTTGACGGTCTCACCCCTCTACGTGCCGGCGACGACGGAGAAACGGAGAACACCGGTGGACTCGGAACGATGCAAGGAACACGATGGTGCAGGAGGTGTTGTAAACGGATGACTGAATTGTCGTGAATCGACGAAAAACCAACTGAAATCGAGTTATTACCGATGATATTTCTGACTAAAATTAACGACGAACGGTGATGATTCACGACGAAAGGTTTGAGGAGATTTGTTCCTTGGTCGACAACGAACACGATGGTTATTTCGGTTCGTCGATCGGAGGTCAGACGGCGAGTTGATCGGAGTTGGAAGGAGGGTTGTTGGAGAGGGAAAACTGGAAAAAAATTTCTACTGAACCTGCGCACGGGAGAGTTTATAATTCAACTTATAATAAAAATTGGGAAACCATGAGTTTAGTCATTAAACTTTCTGTACTTCTTAAAATGGTATGCCAACTTTGAAATTTTTCAATTTAATCCTCAATTTCCTTCCAAAATCCCAATTAAATTCACCACTTTATAATTTTTTAAATTTAACCCTTAAATTGGGGTGTTACATATACAACTTGAATAAGGGTCTCTATCTTGTATCATTGTGTTTACTTGTCAAGTGGTTCGATTAGCTTCTTTCCAGCACGCTCCTTCTGTGCCAGCTTTTTTGTCGTCTCCAAAGCAACTTAACGTTTTGGGGGATGCCATAGAAGAAAAAAAGGTTAATGAGATAGTTGTTGGTGGTGGAGGGGTCACAGTAGCAGTTACTCATTTTTCAACTGAGCAAAAGCGACCAGTCAGACCATTAATTGTGGTTGGTATTAGAGATGGAGTTCTCTGGCTCATTGATAGGTAGCATGTTTCGCTACTTTGAGATATGCAATGTCTTGCTAAAGAATTAATCACTCTACTATTTCTTTATAGGTATGTGACTGTGCATGCCTTGTCCCTAAGTCATCCAGGCATTCGTTGTCGGTGCCTCGTGCTTATGGAGATGCCGTTAGTGCAGTGAAATGGTACACACAAAAAAAAAAATCTTTTCTATTTCAAATCAGAAATTTTGTGCAATCTCATTATTTTCCTTTGCAGGGCAATTCGGCTTGCCAGGGAACATCATGATGATTTAGCACAATTTTTACTCGGAATGGGATATGCCACTGAAGCACTTCATTTACCTGGCATATCTAAGAGGTTCGCCTTACCTATTTTTTGCTCGGTCTTTTTATGGTTATGGTGAGATTTTTTTACTTTTTACTTTGTAATGAACTTTTCTTTCAGTTGAAAAAAAAATCAATGTTAAGATTTCTCGCTCTCTTACGCATACATGCATGCCTTTGCATTCTGGATTGCTTTAATATCCGCTACCTTTTGTGTGTGGCTGTCTGTAACTTAACCTGTAGCAGTCCCTCTGTCTGCTCAAGAAAGTTTATGCTCAAACAACTATAATTGTTCGAGTTTACATGGATGAATCACTCTCGATAAGTATAATACATTGTTGTCAGTGTTTGTGTTGATTAAAGTACAGCAAGAACCATATGTTATTCTTACATTGCAGTTTGATCCTCGTTTTCTTCAATTTCATTGGTATTCCATATTTACAGGTTGGAGTTTGATTTAGCCATGAAGAGTAATGATTTGAAAAGAGCTCTTCAATGTCTTCTTAAAATGAGCAACTGCAGGGACATAAGACAGGATAATCCAGGGCTTGATATGAAAGATATCCTTAATCTAACCGCTAAGAAGGAAAATTTGGTCGAGTCTGTTCAAGGAATCGTAAAATTCGCCTAGGAGTTTATGGACCTTATCGATGCAGTCGATGCTACAGCTCAGGTTGACATTGCTCGCGAAGCTCTTAAAAGGTTAGCCACTGCGGGTTCAGTGAAATGAGCTTTACCGAGTCATGATTTAAGAGGACTTGCTCTTCGCCTTGCAAATCATGGAGAGTTGACATGCCTTAGTGTACGTTGGTGCTATTTCCAATACTTTCTTACATGCACATGTTCAACATTCACACTCAAGCCTATTTTATTGAGAATATTCAGTTTACCATATTATTCAGTTTACCACCTTCAGCTGCAACACCAGGCATGCCAAGAGGAGCACAACCTTCCGATGTACGAGATCATCTACCCGAAAAGCCAATAGGAGCATTACCTCTTGCTGCAACACCAAACGTGTAAACAGAAGCACCACCTCCCACAAAATTAGATGCTACACCAGGAAAACTAATAAGAGCATCACCTCCAGCTGCAATACCAGGCATACAAACTAGTGCACCACCTCCCGATACACTAGATGCTATATCAAGCAAGCCAATAGGAGCACCACCTCCCTATGCACTGGATATTACATCATGCAATCCAATAGGAGCACCGCCTATCGGTGCACCAACTGCAAAACAAGACAAGCCAATAGAAGCACCACCTGGCATGTGAATAGGAGCATCACCTCCCAATGCACCAGTTGTAACACCATGAATGCCTATTGGAGCATCATCTCCCAGTGCATCGGCTACAACATCAGGCACGCTAATACGAGCACCATCTCCTGGTGTAATGGCTGCAACATCAGGCACACCAATACGAAAAACATCTCTTGGTGCAACGACTGCAACATCAGAAAAACCTATAGGATCACCACCTCCTGGTGCAACAACTGCAACACCAGGTACACCTATATGTTAAGCGCGTCCTGGTGCACCAGCAGCAACATCAGACACATCAATTAGAGAGCCACCTCTTGATGCATCAACTGCAACACTCGGCACGCTAATAGAAGCACCACCACCTATATCAAAAGCAAGTGAACCTGCTTCAGGTGATAAAGCTCCTAATACCACATCAGGGAGAAATCAACATATGATCGCTTTATTAGAAAGCAATCCAGCCACATCTGCCAGCGACAAACCAACACCAGATGAAACTCTTATGGATAAACCATTGCCAAATGTACCAACTGTAACGCCTGATAACCAAGAAATAAGTATTCCAAATACAGTCCCTAAAAAGTAAACCACTTCCTTATGTCTGTTGAGACTGGCACATAATGAGTTATATAGTAATTCATTCGATTCCAAAGAACTTTAATTTGATTTCATCTACCATACGAACAGCTATGATCCCAAATCGGATTGAAAAAAAAATATCAGGAACCATTTTTTGTCTAGGCATCTATATGTATATATTTGATTTATCTGAACTTCGGCTTGGCTTGTCCAAAAGTTGTAACTAGAGATTATATTTGTTCTTGATTTAGCTTTTTCACTCAAAAGTTGTCCATATGAGTAGTTTAGTTGGTATTATATATTGGAGAATTGTATTGCGGCCGAGCATTTATCGAACTTAATATGACTTGCATGTTTTTGAAATTTTACTCAAAATGCATATCAAGTGTGGAGTATGCAAAATGAGAAATTTTCACATTGAAAAATACCTAATCGAAGAAATAATCTAGATCGTGTACTTCATATGTACATTATGAGACAACACTTTCAACTTAATTTACTTCATTCATAATATTAGAATCTGAACTTCTAACGAGATCCAATATCTCATCTCACTATATTAATTGATTATTGGTGAAAAAGTTAATTGTTCCCTTTTTCACCTACTTTTCTTTCTGGTTCATGATAAATGATCTTTTTTATTTTTTATTCTTGTGTAAAGCAACTTAAAAGGTGACAATTTTCTTTTTTAATGACGAGTTGGGCCCGTTTTGGTTCAAATGGAGCTAAGGAAATCAGAGCAAGTTGAGATGTTCTCACTTTTTTTTGTGTGTTTTTTTATGACACTTTTAATCTCTTAACAATTAGTGTAGTGACCTAATTAAAATATAAAAAACACAGGTATTAAAATTAGTTCGTTTAATGAAATGAAATATTTGACTTTTTTTAATAAGATCAACGATTATAAAATACTCATTAAAATTTATCTAACTATTATAAAATGATTTTAGAACTTATCAACCTATTGTAAAATGGTGTCAACAATATCTAGAACAAGTTGTTAAAAATTCTCTGTTAACACCCCCTCTCCCCTAGATGTGAATTCAAGAAGTAAAATTCCCTCTAGTTAAAAAATGTTAAAAAAAACTATTGTAAAATGATCTTTAAACTCATTAAAATTTATTATTATTTTAACGTTACAAGGGATTCTTTTGTAATCGTTTAAAACAATCACTTATCATTTTGTAACAGTTGAAAGATCACAAATAAAAAAAATTATGTTTACATAATTGAGTGTCCTATAATATACTTTATCTTTATTCTTATTGAACAAAAAATATATTTAATAATTTATTTTTACTAACCTATCAAATAATTTTATAAATATTAATTAAACTTTAAAAATTCAACACTAATTTTTTTTATAATTAAATTTTAAATTTATCAAAGAATAATTCAATTAATATGTAATTAAATTAATATCATTATCATTCCCTTTTTTATATTTAGTTGGGAAGCCCAAACACAAAAGGTTTGAGGCCCATAAGCCCTGAAATACCCAAAAATATGCTCTTTAGTAGCGAAACTAATGAACTAGAATAACAGAGACGGCAATGGCGGCAGCTCCGCAGCCACGAGTAGAACAAGAATACATGTGGGAGGTTTGGGGCAGAGCGTCAGCAGCGATGATCTGCGGAAAATATTCTCCGCCGTGGGAACGGTGGAAGGAGTGGACATCGTAAGGACCAAAGGCCGCAGTTTCGCTTACGTCGACATACTCCCCTCTTCTTCCAACTCAATCTCCAAGCTTTTTAGCATGGTGGGAAATCTTTTTAAATTGTAATTTCTAGGTTACTGATTCAGAAATTTATTGCTTAATTTGTTTTTTGTGTGTGTCTGCAATTTATACAGTATAATGGGTGCGCTTGGAAAGGCGGCAAGCTGAAGCTCGAAAAGGCCAAAGAGCACTTTCTTGCTCGCATGAAACGGGAATGGGAGGAGACACAAGATGAAGCTGAAGCTGAAGCTGAAGAAGGAACCCATCAAGCCAAGCAATCTTCTTCAGATAGCCCCAACGGGAAAAACAAGGTTCAAGGTTCCCAAAACAACCAGCTTCGGATCTTCTTTCCTAGATTATCAAAGGTTAGATTTATTTTCCTTTAAATATAAGAGTGTTTGTTTCGCTACAATTGGCTTTCATTAAAACATTTTCTGGTATAATTTGCGTGTGTGTATTCATATCGAACACTAACATCGAAATTCGAGTAATATCGGCCTTTGTTATGTTACTTGGAATTGTTATCTTCAACTGAATATATATATGTGTGTGTGTGTGTATTCATATTGAACACTAACATCCAAATTCAAGTAATATCGATCTTTGTTATGTTACTTGGAATTGTTAGCTTCAGATGAAACCACAGACATCATGATATATATATGTGTGTGTGTGTGTGTTTTCATACTAACATCCAAATTCGAATAATATTGGTCATTGTTATGTTACTTGGAATTGTTAGCTTCAGCTGAAACTGTACAAATCATGAACTCACAAGATACCGGCGTTTGGACAGATGTCCATATCGGACACTCACATCCAAATCCGAGTAACATTGGTCTTTTTTATATTATTGGGTATTGTTAGCTTCTAGAAAAACCCTAGAGAGCATGAGAAGCTTGTCTGTTGTGCAGGTCAAATCGTTGCCATTTAGCGGGACTGGAAAGCATAGGTATAGTTTCCAACGTGTTCAAACCTCTGCCCTCCCGATTCATTTTTGTGATTGTGAAGAGCATTCTGGTCGTTTTGATGCTACGAAACCAAAAGTCGTTCAACATCATGAAGAAATTGGTGGTGCCATGAATGAGGAAGAGCTTAGTATGATGAGCTCGGTAATGAACAAGCTCTTTGAGAGGGAAAATGTTTCCAACACTAGCAGGGCTGCCATAGCAAAGGAAAGAGATGATGTCATTGAACCAGTAAAGGATTTGCTGTCTGATGTGGAGGAAAATGACGATGATGATGATGATGATATCATAATTAATGTTGTTTCTAATGCTAATAACCGAACAGCTAGGACCAGGGAGCCGGAAAAAATTTCCACCGAGGTACAATTTTATTGCGAAGTTTTCATGGTCTATTGGTGTTTTGTTATCCTTGTAATTAATTTTATTCTCTTGCTGTATTAAACACACAGAAAACTAGACTCGGTGAAAACAGAATTTCGAAGGATGGAGTGATTCCGAATCCAGGCAATTTGCAGAAGAAGAGTACTTTGCATCCTGAAAAGAAGAGGAGGAAACCACTACCAAATAAAGACAATAAACATGAAATTGTTTCTGTTTCACCTCTAGTGGGAAGGAATTCACAGTCTGATGAGAGTGAAGCAAATTTTGAGGAGAATGAAACTGATGAAGACGACATCGTAATTAATGTGGCATCTGCAGGAAATAAAGGGGCGAGTTTGTCAGGAAGTATGAAGTGTGCTAAGGTATCATCGAAAATGGTTGCCCTCTTTTTCAATTGGCACATAGAAGTTGTTTGTTTCTTATATACTAATATCAGGTTCAGGTCCTAATTAGTTCATATTTTTGTGATGACGTATAGAAGTTCAAATCTGGCGAGGCGCGAACTTCTGAAGATAGATCAGCTGAGGATGATCACAATGAGGAAAAAGATCATTTACTTCCTAAAAAGAAGATGAAACCAATTTCTTCCGAGGAAAGGAATGAAAATGAAGTTGTCTCTATTGTACCTGCTGAGAAGGGACCCTTTGTTGCCCAATCAAGTACTAGTTTGTGGTCTCAGAAGTCTTCATGGAAGGCACTTGTTGGAGATAAAAATGATAGTGCTTTCAGTCTCTCCAACGTTCTGCAAAATGTCGACACCACCGAGGAAAAGCAGCATATTTTTTATGGTCCCAAAGTGAACAACTCTCTTGATAGCAAGAATGAGAAGCTGTTGACATCTGAAAACGTGGAAGGCATGTCAAGCAAAACGGAAATAGCGAATGTGGTTGATGAAGCTCAACCAAACCAACCTACCACGGGTTCACATAACGCAGGAAGAGGTTCTGCATGGCTCCACAAGTCCTCCTGGATTCAACTGGTAAGTAATAAGAGCAATTCTTATAGTATCTCAGAAATTTTGCCAGGCACTACTGCATTAGACGAGGTTGCAAAGCCCGTTGGCGAGGATGCTCTGCTGTCTGCTGCCGGAAATCTTAGCAACATAACTGAGCAATATACAGCTTCAGGTGTCGGAAAAGAAAGAGACTCTGTTGAGAGTATTCTGAAAAGCAATCATCAAACCATCAATGCCGATAAGGATGCTTCTGATCTGGCAGTTGAGAATTTAAGCAACTCCGAACCAGACAAAGGTTTCGGTGTAGATACTAGCACAGGGGAAACTTGTTCATTTATGAGAAGCTCTGCTTCATTAAAAGAATGGGCTAAAACTAAGGCCTCCTTGAAAGGGTCACGCAAGAAAAAAACTAAAGGTGGTTCGATGTAGTAGCGCCCGGGCGTCCTTGTGAAGTTGTTGTTATTGTTTGATATTGTGTTCCGTTGATATATATACTTTAAGTTTAAGAACCATATGAAAGTTTTGGTATGCTTTTTACTTGGTATCAATGAAACCATAGGTTGGTTTTCGTTCGATTCTTCGAATATTTATTGACAGAAATATTTGGCGACATAGTCTGCCATTAACTTCAACAGAAGTTGAACCTTTTTCAATTATGACAAATATTTTTAGCAGAACAAAAACAATTTAAACTCCTACTTGGTTTCGGATGTTGGTTTTGTGCTGCTTTCTCCTCTATGCTGCTTTCGACCGTGTTTGGATTCAGTAGTTTGAGAGGTATTGTGATTTGGTGAACAAGTTGAAGAACAGTCAATAATGGACTTAACCGATCTGGATTTCTGGAGAAGGCTGGCAGTGTCTGGTGAAGACAAAACGGGTTTATCATTTGGAGATGATGTTTTCTTATTAGCTGAAGCTGATCCAGATTTAAGACGTTCATCCATAAGCTTTTTCAAAAGCTGTCCTTGATGCTCTATTTGCAGCTGAAGCTCCCTTTGCACCTATCAAACCCCAAAAAGCAAAAGGTCAAATGTGTTTACTTGATGCTCGTGCTTGGGAATAGGTCGAACAAGAATATTGGACACATATACTTATAAAAGAAGAGACTCAGAGCCGACTATAACAATCGAATACGACAGAACGAAACGTTAACACACCCTTAGCTGCTCATGCAACAGCTTCTGAACTTGAACTTGCATTTGCAAAGTCTCTACCACTTGCATGTTATTGCTCATATCTCTATATATACCATTGGAAAGATGATCAGAGCTTAATCTGTGCATGAATCAATGACTCGAAACAGTTTAGGTTGAATTTGTATCACCTTTCTATATTGCCATCACTTTGGATTAAAGTAGCCTTCTTTTCTTCAAATTTGGAACTTTTATCTAAAAAGTGTAAAATGGGTAAGTGCAGTTTACTCGTGTAATCGTGATCGGAACTTAAACTTTTCTTCGTAGAGAAGTTGGGTTTTTACCGTGCTTTAGCTCTGTAATATCCTTGGCGAGTCGATACTTCTGCAAGTAAAATATACAGGGATGAGTTTTATATGATCAACTCATATATATACATACATACATAAGCATACACATTTTCACGAAGATCCCATCGAATATACCTCAAAATTACCTGCAGATGGCTCTTGACATGATAGATATTCAAACCCTCAACATTCATAAGATTCAAAATATTCTTTGGTGTGGCACCTGTGATTTCATAGAAAAATTTGTTAGGTTTTAAAAACAAATAAACACCCAGAGTTTTGCTTGTGATGATCAATCGGAAGACGGTTTAATCTCACTTTCAGGGCCACCAAGTCGATCCACTGCATTTAAGAAAAGTTCATGGAGCTCAGGTATCCACCTTATTCTTTGTTTATTTGCAGCTACGACATTGGGATGTTGATTCATTAAATGTGTATTACAACCATCCATATTAACAGCTGAAGAAAGAAGCTTTCTTTTACATCCCAACTGATGAATCCCTGGAACTGAAGAAATTTGTGGAGCACCATGAGTTTCCTAATTAAGATTGGAAGTCAAAATTCGAACAAGCGCTTGATGATCAATCTATATTTGAAAAATCAATGCAACATGACAGTATACATATATACTCACCTGATCAAGACCAAGATTTTCGTCTTCGATCTCGAGCTCTTTTGACAAATATTGAAGTTGCAGCTGCTCTTTCAATGTCAAATTCTGCTTTGCATAGACTGAACCTTGGGGACTTGGTGCTGGGACATGACCAAAGGCAATGAAATCATCTTTTTCCACTGAAAGAGATGAGCAGTCGAGAGCAGACTCCGAATGAATGAGTTGACCACAATTTGGAACTTTTTGACAATATCTTCGGTTTCCATTGCAGTTTCCAGTATATGAACTTAATAACATTGACGAGTTTGAACCGGTATCAAACCTATTGGTCTTATGACTTGTGTTATAAGAAATCCAAGGAACAACATGGGGCTGGGACATCGATGCTTGTGGTGGTGGTTGTGCAGGGGCTTCTGGTTGTTGGTATTGAGGCAGAAAATTAGGAGTTGGTGAGTTTTCATATGCTGAATAAAGCCCCATTGGCTCACTGCTGGAGAACTTATCAATAGAATAGGGTCAATGGTAACTAGTTTGCATTGCTGCAAACCAAAACAAAATACAAGGACTTGAATTTGCAGAAAAGTGATATGTTGTTCTTAGACTCCCAGGACTTGAAAACTGTTAAACCCGTACAAGTGTCGGACAGAGGTATGCATCCGACAAATGTTTGGCTAGATTTTTCAAAGTTTTTCTTTATATTTAAAGTATCCTAGAGGTCATATCTCCATATCTAAGTGTCAAACATGAAAAATGAAGAGTTCGAGGAACATAAGTTCCTTTAATATATGAAGAGAGGAAATCATACCTTTGAAGTTGAAAGCTTAATTTCAGGGAGAAACCACAGAGATTCTTCAGCTTCTGCTATGGGGTTCAGGATAACGTTACTGCATATACAGCCTTTGATGAATGTCGTGTTTGGGGGATTTGAATAAAGAAATAATTAGCTGGTGCAGCTGCACACGGCTGCTGATTTCACCGATGGGGGTAAGAGGCATTGGAAATGAAGTTTCCCAGGAATTTCACAAACAGTTTGTGGGTTGTCTTAATTATTATATAATCAAATATTTAGAGTAGGCGGAGATTCTAAAGGCCAAAGGGGGGCAGATTCATAACCTTTTGATTGGGATTCTCCTTGCAATACATGAACAAACGGCCATTGACTATGTTTTTATTTTTAAAAAAAAGGTAGAAAAATGGTGCAATGCCGGGGGTGACAGTGACTCATAAGACGAGAATGCCGAGATTGAATAATTGAGAGGTATATTAATATGGTCTGGTGATCATGGGATGGGATGCGGCTGGCGGTCTTTTGTCTCATTTCGACTCGACATAGGATGATAAAATTCAAACCATCTGATTAGATAGCGTCAGGTTGGGATGGATTGTTGGTTCACATAAACCTGACTCGAATGAAATATCTCTTTATTTTTTATTCAACTCGATTCAAATTTAAAGAAGTTTTACTCATCCCAATATCTTATCTGAATTTTAAGTGTACACTTACCCTCAAATCCACCCGATATAAATATATATAATTATTTAGTTTGATTTAATAAAATAAAGACTTTATTAATAAATATAAATAAAATGATATTATAACAATTATCAATAAATATATAATGGTCAATTATATAATTATTTTTAAGTCGATTCAATCTTAGTTTTAAAAAATGCACCTAAATATGCCTAAAGCACAAGACACCTAGGATATCTGATTTTGCGTAAAAAATATACGAAATCGGATTTGGGAAAAACCGGTTTTTTTTAAACCGGATCGGATATTTTAAAACCAGATAGTATAACCGGTTTGGGAAAAAATTGGACGACCGGATTTTTTACCGGATTAAAAACCGGTTTGAAAAAAACCGGATAAAAAACTGATTTTTTATCCGGAAAAAAATCCGGTCTAGGGTTTAAAAATCCGGTCTGAGGTTTAAAAAATTAGATGACAGGATTTTTTACCTGATTAAAAACCGGTTTTTTAAAAAAACTGGTTTTTTTCAAACCGAAACCGGTTACACCGGTTACATCATCCGACCCTCCAAACCGGTTATGATCCGAATCGATTTTTTTATAAACTGATTTTTTGACTTAGTGAAAAAACCGGATCAATTTATATCCGATCCAAATCGAATTTAAATCCGACTATGTGCATCTACCTAGGCATATAAAAAACGCCTCCAATAACACAGGCGAAGTGAGGAATCAAAAGCCTACTTAGGTGCACGTTCTTGTAACTTTTTGAAGAGGTGCAACATACACCGCTTTTAAGTGACGTTTGGTTCACGAAATGTAAAATTATCTATGAGAATAATATTATTAGAATATAATAATATTATAGGAATGTTATATTAACTTCTTTGGTTTGTTTAACAGAAATGTAAGATTACATTATTTGGTTGGAAGAATATAATATTACTTGGATATATATTTTACGAAATTATCCTTGTGATATATGTTTTTTAAGGTTAATCTTTAATATTAATTTATAAATATTTGAATGAAATTTCATAAAAATATTTTAATCGTTATATCATCTAACTTTTGATAAAAAAATACATTTAATATATAATTAATATAATTAGTATATTAAATTTATATTTAAATAATATTCATATTATATTTATTTATATAAAATATAATATAATATAAAAAAATAATATTATGATATTGAGTGGATAAAGATATTTTTTCAATATATAAAATTTGTTTTTTAATAACTTAAAATTAAATATTATTTTAAATAATTACATGTTTACAATAATATTATTTTTTTCATCCCCAAAAATTATAAATAATAAATATATTGAATATTAAAAATATAACATATTTTTAATTCTCAAATTTATTAATATTTTAGTAAATCAAAATCTTTGTATAGTATTATTATATTTATAATTTTGAGTAAAACACAAAAAATAAAAATTGATAATGATTATTATAAAAATAATTCATTAGTCTAAGGATATTCTTGTCCAAAATTATAGAAATTGTGTAATTACTAAAAATTTGAAGATAATAATATTGCATCATTTTAGCCAAAAAAAATTATACTATCGAGAAAATAGTATTACCAAGGAGAATAATCTTTTCCGTGGACCAAACATAAAAATACAATTTCGAAAAAAATTATTTTTCTTGACAATAATCTTTTCCTCGGACCAATCGTACACTTAAGGATAAATGTTTTGACCGTTCTTTTGTCAAGTGTATACATAGGTTGTTACGTGATGATTACGGAGGCAAAGACCGATATAACATTTAGCACCTGTCCAATTTTGCATAAGCAACCGATTACTACTTTAAAACTCGAGTTCTGAAGATAACAAGATTCAAGCAAGTTGAGAGGAATGAAGGTCAACCATTCCATACTCTTTTCTGGAAAATTGCTCCAAAGTGGTCAGAAATTTATGATAAAGGTTTAACACCCGAAATTCTTCCCGTTCATGTTATTGGAAAGATCTAAAACCTTCAAGTTCAATGTACGAAAGAAATCCAGGAGCTGCCTTACGCTACAAGAAGAGAGTGACAATTTCCAGTCAAGGGATGTAACAGTTCATATGAGCTAATAAAAACTTCAAAATATGGCATTCTTAGACTTTGAACCTTAATTTCTCATTCTGAATCCATGTACTCATAATCTTGATCAACCTGCTATAAGCAACCAAACCATTTGAAATATAAATCATATAGAAAATTAACACTAGTTATGAAGGACCGTGCACTACATTTTTCCCCCTAATGGAAGATTGAATTTAAGTGTTACAATTGCAGGCAGGCAATCAAGCACTGTCTCAACAATAGTAGTTCACATTTAAGCATATATCTGTGGAACCCTTTGCCTCCTTAACAATCTTATCTCCCACTACTTAAAGTTCCATTAAAAGTAGTGGCTTACAGGACATATAGAATACAGTTCCAGTCTAGTAATGAATTTCATCAAAAACCAAAGTTTAAATGAAACGAAAGACGAATCTTGCTACCTATCTTTGAGTTCCTGCTCAAATTTAAGCAATTTCTCCCGGACGGGCAGCAGAAATAGTTTCTTCAAGTCCTGGATAATTTGCAGCTCATCTTGCTGCACGAAATCCTTCTCTTCACTTAGCTTCACTTCCATCTATGGTTGTGCAAAAAGAAAACATATAGAACATTTGTTTAGTAGCTTCAATCATTTTTGCCAACCTCTCATCATGGTTCAAAAAAAGTCGATAGCTTACCAATGCCTCACTTGTAACTATGGGATGTAAAAATAATTTTACTCCCCTATGGTTAGGTTTAGCGTTTTAAATATCATGCGTTTTACTTAAACCTAGATATAAAAATCATGTATTCTTATTCCATTCTAGTTCTTTTGGGGATAAAAATACATTTTGGTACTTGAAAATAATTTCAAGGTTCAATTTGATTTGGTATCTGAACTTCTTGGTTCGAATTGATGCTTTGGGGGTTTTTAACCGATTTGAACCAAGAAGACAAGGTCCTGTGTCAATTTGAACCTTAACCCATAAAAAATTTAAGACAAAAAAATAAGCTTAGCCCTCAACATTTATATTTTTTGTCATTTTGGCCCTTATTCTGTTTTTGAGTTATTCTTGGCTCTAAACCTTTCAAAAAGAGTCAAATTAGGCCCTCGGCCTTTAAAAAAAGAGTTGAGTCGCTATTGTTAAACAGAAATACTGATTATAATGTTAAAATTTTAACGCAGTTGACACGGAGTCTCACATGTTACTCCATGTATACTTCATAGATTCTTTTTTGGAACTCATAATAATTTTTCTGAAAATTTTATAATTTTAAATTATTTGTTGACGTGGCATATAACACATATAGTTCTATGTCAGCATGAAGTCCTTGTGGAGTGCCATATGAGTTGTCACTTCCAAATTGTTAAAACATCAATATTTTAGTCAACATTTTTGTTAAAAATGTGATTTGACTTTATTTAAGATTGAGGGTCAAATTTAGCTCAAAAAAAGCATAAGGGCAAAATTGAAAATAAATTAAGCTATAACAGTGTCATAGTAATATATTCTATAAATTTTATCACGTTAATAATTCGTGTTATATAGCTTCCGACAAATTCCACCATTTATATATTGTCCATGTTATTTGTTCATGTTATTTTGGGGTTTAAACTGTGTTCTACTTGCTTTTCTTCAACCAAAATCAAGTAGAGAATCCAAATTTTGGAAGTCAAACATCAGCTAAATAAATAGTAATCAAGACATATTCTACACCAACCACAATCCTAGCACTAGAAGTCATCGTGTTTGTACTTTGTACCTTAGGCCCATGCATCATAACATGTCATAGAATTTATGCCTAGATATATTCAACAAGTTTATCCTAGTAACTCTTCTGCACCAAATAGATATCACTAACACACAACTCAATCGTACCTGCAAGTCATCGAGCTCGCCAAATGAGAATTCCAGGATATCAATATGGCCCTTAACAGATTTTTTCTCCTCTTGTATATGCCACTCGCCTGATATTGGTTCAGTCCCAATTTGATCAGAGCAAAACGATAAATAAGCTTAGAAAGTATAAAGGGTAACACCACATATAGACCCAACTTACCATCAACTTTCAATGTCAACTCATATGTATAGCCTACTCGCTTCTTGTTTCGTACAGTCACCAAAAATGCCTACACAATCGGTAATATTCACCAGAAAATAAGATTGTTATCTGTATGCACAGCCATAGATGCAGTTTAGTTCAGCTACATCAATGGTGTCAAATAACATTATAAGACCGGAAAAAATGAAGTTAAAAAACTGACATCACCAACACACTTGGTTACATCAGAAATTTCCGCCTTTCCGCGAGACAAGTCCAATGTGCCCATTGATTTAAGCAATTCCTGGAAAATAAAATTGGGTTTTCAGTACGTTTGAAGCTTTAAATATAGATATACATACACACGCATTGTGTATAAAAGAAAGCAGAGTTTTGTATAAAGACCTTTAATCTTTGTGTAGCCCAGTTATTAAGGTTTTTCTCCTCCCAAGTTCCAGCCTGCGAGTAACAAGTAGCAGAAATTAAACCAGGTTGTCAAATTGCAGGAAATTTTGAAAATACCCCCTAATAAAACCATAGATTACAATTAGGGATGATTATTTGATCGAGTGGAGTAAAAAATTTTAATTTAATCAAGTTGAGTGATGTTTTAGAACTCAAACCTAGCATGAAATTTTAGTCGAGTTGTTCTAATTTCTATTTAAATTTTATGGTAAATATTTATAATGTTACTATACTAATTGATTCCAATTCGAACAGACTTTTACAACTATATAATATATATATATATATATATTTTCCAGATTCTTTTCATGTGCGATATTCATTCATGTTCAACACTCTGACTCGAACTTCAAAATCAATTCACTAATTAATAAAAATTATGAGTTGTTCGAGTCCAAAGTCAAGTTTTTAGTATCGAGTCAACTCTGGATCGGAAGCTAATGTTCGCTTGAACCACACATTCTACAGATGTTACAAAAGCAACGATGACAATGGAACTAAGACTTAATCGGCTAGATCAGATCATGTATAAACATAAAAACACAAATAAAAATGTACGAAAAAGAATAAAACGAATTGAAGGGAAACAAAGCACCTTATTCCAAGCAGAACCAAGAGTCGCAGGCTGAGATTGATTCGAAAGCAAGTCTTGAGCGGTGAGTTTCTTGGGAAGAGGGAGGGGAGCGGCGTCCGCCGTCGTTTCTCGAACCCAATAAGTGTACGACGCTGCTGCAGCCGCCTGCCCATTGCTCTTCTCCGCTCCCCCATTCTCCATCTCTTTTTAAGCTAACTGTACGGATCCAATCAACTTGGCGCCTGAATTTTATTGTAGATATGATCGATGAATATTGATTAATCTGAGAGAGAATCGAAGAATGGACAAGACTTACTATAGTTTAAATCAAAATTGATTTCTGGAAGCTTCTTTCAATGTTATTATGGGTTCTTAAGCTAAACCTAGAATCTTCCTCTGCTTTACCTTCAACCCCTTTGTTTATTTAACTCTCAATAAAAAAACTCTCCCAATTATACATTTTTTTCGTTTAGGTATAATGATAATGATGTGTTTGAAATTAACATTTTTGGGAGTTTAGTTTTTCATATATATATATATATATATATATATTAAATAAGTTTGAAGGTTTTTTTAAGGTTTAATATAAAAAGTTTATCTAAACTATACTATTTTTTTAAAGTTGTGTATAAATTTTTTTTTGTCAATCTAGATGTTTAATGTTACAAATAGTATAATTTTAATTTTTTTTGTCGTAATTGTTATTAAAAAACCGTTAAATGACATATATTACGTGATGTTTTTAAAAAAATTACTTTAATTTTTTTTAAAATATTATTATATTTAAAAAAATTTAATTTTTCTTAAATTATTAAAAAAAAAATCACCAAATCTTTAATCCTAACCCTAACCTTACCTCTATTGCCGATTACGACCACAGCCACCATTGCCACCTTTATCAACCGTCTCTATCTTTGTCATCGTGGTTGTCGTTAGATCATATGGGTAGTTATTTTTTAAAGGTTTTTTTAATATCGGGTCGAAATAGAAAAAGTAAAATTGAAATAGGAAAAAGCAACATCATCGACCGACTTTACACAAACATGAATGAGTGATTGAAACTCCACATCCAACCTCAAACTAAAATTGAAAGCAAAAAAATTGGGAGACTCCAGAGCCATGCACGACACCAAACTTACCACTGGCAGCCGACGATGATTATTAATTAGAGTTTAAGGATTAAGTTTTTGAAATTTTAGGTATTTAAGTTTGGGTTGGTAATTTAGGGATTTGAGAAGACGACAATAGTGGTGGTTAGTCCATTGATAGACAACGATGAATGGGTGTACGGTAATCTCGTTCTTGCTTCAATTCTCCGGTTGCGTTCCTTCAACTTGATGACTCCGGCAATCTCGTTCTGCTCGATGGAAGAAACGCTTCGTTGTGGGAAAGCTTTGATTACCCTACTGACACTCTTGTGATGGGGCAAAGATTGCCCATCTGAGTAGACTTGTTTACCGGTGAATACCGGGTTTTGCTCACCGGATTTGATGATGTTTTGCAGTGGAATGGGATGACTTATTGGCGGTTTTCGATGGACGATCAGGCATTCACCGACTCGAATGTGCCGGCGGCTTTCGTGTTGGTGAACGGAAGTGGTATGTTTTGGTTCGGAGACAACGGTTCGACGGTTGTCTTCATGGTGACATTGACTCCTATTGATGTTATAGGATCGGGTTTCGTGTTTGCCAAGTTGGGATCCAATGGGAAGTTCATAATCAGCAGCTTTGATGGGAACAACGAATTGGTTCGGAACTTACAACTTCCAGCTGAAGACTGCAGAATTCCATCCATTTGTGGGAGACTCGGTTTATGTGACATTGCCGGAACGTGTTCGTGTCCATCCGGTTTCCATAACAGAATCCACGGTTGCGTGCCGATCAATCCGTCTTACACTTTGCCTGAAGCTTGCAATACAAGTAATATTTATGGTAATGAAACCAGTGATCAGATTTCCTATATGAAAACCGGGGATGCCATCGACTATTTCTCAACAAATTTTGTCGAGCCCCTAATTCGACAGATCAATGTATCCTACTGCCAACTGCTATGCTCTCAGAATTGTTCTTGCTTAGGCGTACTCTACGGAAATTCCTCTGGTTCCTGTTATCACGTTCGGAACAATGTCGGATCCATCTTTTCTAGCATCTTTGGTCTAGGGCATGATGCTTTTTCAGGCTACATAAAGACCATGACTCAAGCTTCTAATGTAAACCCGAGTTCTAAGACCGGTGCTCTTCGTAAATTATCGGTTACAGGTTTGGTCTTACTAACTTCATCAGGGGTTTTTGTACTAATTGTCATTGTTGTAGGATTCTTATGGCGGAGAAGAAGAAAAAGGCATGCTGGGGCTGCAGTAGTAAGATTAGGTTCTAAGAACTCGGTTTCGGATGAGATCGATTTATTATCTATTGCAGATTTACCAGTGAAGTTTGAATACGAGGAACTTGCAACTGCAACCGACAACTTCAAGGCACAAATCGGTAGCGGTGGCTTCGGAACCGTTTATAAAGGTGTTTTACCGAACGAATCCGTGGTGGCAGTGAAGAAGATCACCAATTTGGGAGTTGAAGGAAAGAAAGATTTTTGCACTGAGATTGCCATCATAGGAAACATTCACCATGTCGATCTTGTTAAGCTGAAAGGATTTTGCTTGAAAGGCAAGCAACGATTTTTAGTACTCGAATACATGAACAAGGGGTCATTGGACCGTGTTATGTTCGACAATGAATCACCGGTTCTCGAATGGAAAGAAAGATCGGAAATTGCTATCGGAACGGCACGGGCACTTGCTTATTTGCACAGTGGGTGCCAACACAAGATCATCCATTGTGATGTGAAACCAGAAAACATTCTGCTACACGTTGATGTACATTCAAACCAAAATTTACAAGTGAAGATGTTGGACTTCGGGATTTCGAAGCTTCTATCTCCTGAACAGTCGAACCTGCTTACGACATTGAGGGGAACACGAGGATATCTCGCTCCCGAATGGCTAACAAGCTCTGGTATTTCCGACAAGAGCGACGTCTTCAGTTATGGGATGGTTTTACTCGAAATCGTGAGAGGAGGAAGGAATTTCTCAATACAACCACGAACCACAGGTTCACATTGTTCGCCGTTATCGACTCCGAAACTCCAGAGACTTTACTTTCCATTACTGGCATTGGAAATGCATGAGCAGAAGAGATATATGGAGCTTGTGGATCCGAGGTTGGAAGGAAGAGCGAAGAGCGAGGAAGTTGAGAGGCTCGTGCGAGTGGCCTTATGTTGCCTGCAGATGGAGCCGTCTCGGAGGCCGACTATGTCGTATGTGGTCCGCATGTTGGAAGGAAGTCTTCCAGCGGGACGGCCCAGAATCGAATCGTTGAGCTTTTTGCGATACTACGGCAGTGAATATGCCGAAGCAGTGACCACTTCCACTGATGGATGCAATGGACCAAGTGAATTCATTAGGGACTCTGATTACCCATTAGACAACTGTTAGTTCATGTTCATTGGACATACTGGTACGTCATAAGAAAAACACTATAATTAAACCATAAATTATGCTTAATTTTTATTTTTTATATTAAATTTAGCCTTAAACTTTTTCAATGAAAAATATTGATTAAAATATTAAAATTTAATAAATTTGACATAACAACTTGTATAGTACATTCATATATATTTTACACTAATCTCTAATTTTAACATATTTTGGGTAAAATGCAAAAATAATTCCCGATTATAGGACACTACTTATTAAATAAACTATTAAAAATTATAAAATAACCCCCATATGGTCTTTTTCTATTGATTCCTCAAATTATTAAAAGTTACAAAATGATATACAACTATTCATATATTATAAACTTATCATTTTATGTTAAAAATTTACTGGACGTTAACCGATATGGTGAAAACCAACTCAATCCACCTAATTGATAGGTCTAATAAAAAGCATAACCATAGCAATAAAACACAGAAATCCAATAGGGATTCCAAATGGCAACAAAATCCAACAAAACATACACTCAATCTTCACATGTTTTTTCACCAATTCAATGCGTTCTGTATATGTTCAGAAGGTGCTAAAAATGGTCCTTAAAAACCAATAAATTATCCACTTAATCCTCAATCTGGGTTTGTATGATACAATAGCTTAAAGTTTGAACAACAGTAAAAGCCATTTCTATTCTTCATTGCCTTTTTTCGGCTTTTTCGCGGAATACTCTCTAAACCGTGAAGACTAAATTAAAACAGGGATCAACATTTCTCCTCCCCTACGATAAAACAAAGAGGGTGAGGGGGAACGGTAACGGATGAAGTTATCTCCATCACTTACTCTCATCCATGACCATGGGGTCGTTACGGTTACATGATTAAGGTATTACATCTTTGCCATCTTGCTGTGTTTCTCCGGACCCCGACGTTTTTGAGACAGTATCTTCAAGTGCCTCGAAGAAAGATAAAACAGTGAACGTGTCTGCAAAGGAAAACGAATTGGTGGTCAAATAAATTAACCATGAAGCACCATCGCATCGTCCGTACTAACATCACTATCAAATGTATACATAATTGGAACCGCAGACTACTCACATTTACTTGGATCCATACCGAACTGAGACAAATCTATCTGTCCGGTTCGAAGTACCTATAACAGGGAGAAACCCACCTTGTGAAATTGAATAGTGCCATGTGAAATAACAAACAAATAATAGGATGGGTTCTAATTCCTCACATATGTATATGAATCTACTTGTTAACGGAAAGGAGAGCTCTGGAGCAACTCTAGCAAATCCTCCGGTATCCACTGACCCTGAAACGTCAATAACTTCAAATCCGGAGAACATAAAACTATAGAAAGAAAACTGAACAATGAAACAATTCTATACCTCAGGCATATATGATGCTAATCGCTCTTCCAATGACAATGACTCGATCAATGGAATTATTAAATCTGGCTTCAAAATATCATCCAACCCCAAGCATGGTAGGATAGAAAAGGCGCAGAGGTGGAGTGTCAAAGAAAATGCAGAAAAGGCTCAGAGGTGGAGTGCCAAATTCGCAACTCAATTTCGAATTCGCAACACGAAAGCCAATTTCGCAACAAAGTTTCCGAATTCGCAACTCGAATTTGGAATTCGCAACACAGAAGTCGAATTCGCAACACGGAAATCGCAACTCGAAAATGAAAATCGCAACTCGAAAATGAAATTTAAGTTGCGAATTCGAAATTCGAGTTGCGAATTCGATTCTCGAGTTGTGAATTGAGTTTCGAGTTGCGAATTTGAATTTCGAGTTGCGAATTCGATTTTCAAGTTGCGAAATCTATATTCAAATTACGAATTCGAAAATTGAGTTGCGAAATTGGCAAATTCGAGTTGCGAATTTAAAAACTGAATTTGGCAAACTCTTGTTGCGAATTTGAAAACTATGTTGCGAATTTGGATTTCGTGTTGCGAATTCGTTGGTTAATTTTACAAACCCAAAAAAAATTGGTTAAAATCATATATTATAAGGCATTTTCGGTCACTCAAGTTATTTTCTTTTATATATATATATATATATATATATATATATATATATATAAAGTTAAGCAACAAAGCAAACTATAGTAAGCGGGATACATCTTTAATAACATTTTGAGTCCGATCAAGCCACTGAAAATGAACCAGTCCCTCCTCACCCTGGAACAGAAAGGCGGTAAGCTTTCAACAGTTCCAGATAAAAAAAAATTGTTAAAAGAGACACTCTGAAGAATATCAAATTTCACCATCTAAACACATATCCAAAAGATCAAATAATACCCTAGCCATGCGAATGAGTCCTTTACGCGTATCAGGTACAACCCTTTTCCCTTCCAACAACATTTTACCAGCACGAAACTCCAGCAAAGTTTCCTGTCAATACATAATGGCGAATTGGTTTCAAAGATATATTAAGAAATCCATTCAATGCAGAAACTTCTTCCGCAAGATTTCAATTTGATTTTAAAGTAGTTAGCTGGGAACATTACCCGCATTGCTGGAAAAGCGTCGGCCAGAGACGAACTCATTTGCTCCACTTCCTTTCAAAATCTTAAAAACTAATAAACCAAATTCAAAAGAATTCAAAACCCAAGGCAAAAGATCAAATTCAAGAAACAAAACGACAATAAACGCAATAAATTAATGAAAAATTGTTCGACAAAACGCTAGATTCATAGGTAAAAGCTTTAAACAGTACAATTGTTCTTTGAATCGTCGAAGGCAAACAATATAATACCTGTTTATATATAACTTTATTTGTTGCTGGATCTAATCAGTTTCTTCTGCAAGAAAAAGATATGGAATTCTGTATATCAGCAGCGGCCGACTGTTGGCTTTGCACATTCAGACATTAACGTTTCCGATATTACGAAATCGACATGGCTTTGTCAGGTCTAATTTCGCTTTTAGTCTTTATACTATAAAGAAATTGAGATTTAATCTTTTTATTTTAGGGTAAAATACACAAATGGTCTCCTAGTTATAGGGTATTGCTTTTTAAGTCCCCAACTATTAAAAGTTACAAAATGATCCTTTGATTATATGGCGTTGCTTTGTTCAGTATCTCGACTATTAAAAATTACAAAATGGTCATCCAACTATTCATATGTTCTAAACTCATCTTTTTTGGTAAAAATTTGACGGTCGCCTGAGCTGGACGTTAACATATTAACCGAGATATGATAGTCGTTTGAGATTCTGGTATCAGATTTTAGCATATCTCAGTCAGCTGATTAACATTCAGCTCAAACTGTCGTCAAATTTTAATATAAAATGACTAGTTTAGAATATATTAATAGTCGAGTGACTATTTATAACTTTTAATTGTCAAAGGACTCAATAAAATAATACCCTATAATCATAGAATCATTTTGTGACTTGTAATAATCAATGGACTTAACAAAGAACCGTCCTATAATCATGAGAACATTTATCTTTACCCTTTATTTTAATTTAATATAATATGATACTTTTCGTTTTATAATGTTATTAGTATGTTCAAAATGAGAATATCCTAAGAGCGTTGAGACTTCGCCGCAAAAATATATGTGGGCTTAAAAAACAACTTCGCCCAATTAATTAAACTAAAATGAAACAAATCTAGTAAAGGCGTTGGGTATCCTTTGCTAAATGATATTGTGATGACTCCGCTCAATTTCAACATCTGCGATGTATATACACAGGTGTGGGAATAACTCCAGAATCGTCTCTAGATGTTGATCAATTTGACAAAATCACCTTATGATAAAAAAAAATTTGAGGCAAAGTCATCTTGCGATAGGGGATATCGAAGTCGCGACGACATACAATGATTTTGTCTGAAATCGATGACAGTTGTCGACGTCTTCGACTCCAATTTTAAGCATGAAAAAAGTAGTCAAAAGAAAAGGCATCAAAGTTCAAACCTCAAACACAAGCTTTCAACTTCTAAAACAAATATATTTTCCTTTTATTTGTTTCCTTGTATGATTGTTTTAAGGTAATGTGACCAAGAAAGCTCAAAATAATGGCAGTTAATGATAACAAACAATGCCTGTATGGAGTGTGAGGATACATGAATATGAAGAAACAACTAAGTTGCAGAAGCAGTGATTAAAACATTTCATCGGCACCCGCCCATCTCGACTTGTCTTGGTTCACCTCCTACCATCGGCTAGCGGGTTGAATAGAGGCAAGCGGATTTACTTGGTACGAAAACGCAAGTGAATTTATCTTCACTGAGAATCAGAATTGATTAAATTCGAATAATTGATTGATTCAAGACAAACAAATAATTACAATAACTCTGATTTTTTTTTTTAATGATTCATCCGTTCATAGTGTGTGCTTCCCATGTATGGTCATGAGTTGGATCAGCTCAGCTTTTTTGTCTGTCTAAATTCGATACGGAAATTAAATATTTTAATTTGTCTTCTACTCTAAAATTTAATCCAAAAGAATTAAATTTAACTCGACTTGATCCAAATATACATTATTTAAAATTAATTTCACCCAAATTTAAAAGTATCTCTTTGAATCTAAAATAAAAACCTCTTTAACTAATATTGATCATAAAATCTATCGATTTCTTTAAATCAATTAGTGTCACATATGAATGATGTTTTTAAAATTCTATTAATTATTTTTTAAGAATTATTTTAAAAATATAATAACTTTTTAGAATTTTTTGAAATATTAAAAATTCAATATGATAGAATCATAATGTGTCATACAATAATTATATTTCAGAAAAATTATTAAGATTTAACAATCAAAATCGATTAAAAAACTTAATTAATTAATAATTTTTAAATTTAATTATTTAATTGATTTAGTTTTCCAGTATTAAACTCAATTGGGTGTAAAAAGAATCATAGGTTTAATTGATTTCTTTTTCAAGGATTCCAATTCAATAAAGGTAAAGTATAATTTTTTTAAGTAGGGGTAATTTATAATAATCGTATAAAATTTACATTTTATATAAATTGAATGAAAAAAAATTATGGGATCAGGGGCGTTACAACCCTTAGGTGGCATTTGATTCGCTAGAATGTTTATGAGGGAATTGGAATCTGTGAAGGGATTAGAATCTGTCAAGAATTGAAATTAAATTCCATATTCTGTTTGGTTGGCAGGAAATTGAATTGGAATCCAATTCCATATTCTGTTTGGTTGACAGCAAATTGAATTGGAATCCAATTCCATATTCTGTTTGGTTCGCAGACATGTTAGATGAATTGATTTCAATAATGTAAAATGACGGGATTGTCCTTCTTGTTTTTTTTGCTTAATTTTAGTTTGTTTTATAAAATTACATGTAGCAATATATTATAAAAATTTTAAAAATATTAAATATTAAATTTTAATTTTATTGATTGATTATTCATTTCAATAAATTATAAAAATATGCTAATAAACATCATAAGTTAAAATCATCCCAATTAGGGATGACCATAGGTCGGGTTGGGTCGGGTTTTTAGTATTCTCGACCCGACCTGAGAACAAGGGAACCTCCATCCGAGACCCGACCCGACCAAAATAAAGTTTCACCCGACCCGACCTGAATATATGAATTAGAAACCTGACCTGACCCGACCCGAAATAATAAAAAATTATTTTATTCAATAAAAATAGTGACTTAATTGAAAAAAATTATATACAGAGGGGTATTATTGTAATTATTCCTAAATATATAAGGTAAAATTATATATTTTTGGGTCGGGTTGGGTTTTGGTCTACCCGACCCGACCCGAGAACAAGGGAACCTCCATCCGAGACCCGACCCGACCAAAATAAAGTTTCACCCGACCCGACCCGAATATATGAATTAGAAACCCGACCCGACCCGAAATAATAAAAAAATATTTTTATTCAATAAAAATAGTGACTTAATTGAAAAAAATATATATATATATAGAGGGGTATTATTGTAATTATTCCTAATATATAAGGTAAAATTATATATTTTTGGGACGGGTCGGGTATTTTTCACTCTAAACCCGAATCCGACCCGACCCGAATATCACACTTAAAAAACCCGACCCGACCTGACCAAAATAAAGTTTCACCGACCCGACCCAAATATATGAATTAGAAATCCGATCCGAAATAAAAAAATTATTTATTCAATAAAAGCAGTGACTTAATTGGAAAAGAATTATATATAGAGGGGTATTATTGTAATTATTCCTAAATATATAAGGTAAAATTATATACATTTTCGGGTCGGGTATTTCCTAAACCCAAACTGGACCCGACCCGAATATATGAATTAGAAACCCGACCCGACCCGAAATAATAAAAAATATTTTTATTCAATATATGAATAAGTTACCAAAAGATTGATAAGGGTAGTATGATCAAATTTCAATTCCTTCCAACAAGGGAATTGAATTCCATTATAGAATTAATAGAATTCACTTTCCCTCATTTGATGGAAAGTTGAAGTCATGAGGGATTCTAATCCATTTGAAAACTTAAACCAAACATGGGAAAGTGGTAGAATTGGATTTCAATTCCCCTTAATTTCAAGAGATTCATGCGAACCAAACTCCACCTATTGTGTACCAAATGGATTCATCTCTCTAATAATTGCTTTAAAAATTTGAATAAATACTTACTTGATCACCTAGTACTTAGTTTTTGTTTTAATCATCTAATTATTTTTTTAAATATATCTAACGTTAAGTTTTGATTTTATTTCAGTCACTCGTCGTTAAAAATTAACGGTAATTTTGATGTGATATTGTTAATTATTTTTAATAATGACTTTGCATTACCTTATAGTTACACGTGAACATCATCATTAATTCTTTAACAATGTGTGATCGAAACATAACCAAAATGTAACATTTGTATGATTTAAAAAAATATAATAGTTGAGTGACTAAATGGAAATTAAGTAATAGACGTGTGACAAAATAGGTAGTTTACTCTAAAATTTATAATGATCACTTTATAATTTTCTAAAATTTAATACCGAAAACTATCGTTTTCGTCATAACCGAGTGACTTTTAACTGATTTTACCATGAGGGAAATGACGGATGAAGACGAAGACGAAGACGTTGACGTCATGAAGAACGTAACACATGCAGAGCCTTTCATTGAAAAACACCCTTTTAACAACTCCCATCTATTCTTAGCTGTTTAATCTTTCAGCTCTTTCAAAGCCATCCAAATCCCACCGATTCTCCATTTCCCCCCTTTTGGTTCCATCCCCATAGCTCGAAATCCCACCATTCTTCCGCATTGCCTGTTCCTGGCGAAGGGCGCGCATGCGCCGCCCTCCATCACCGTGCCTCCACCATGACAACCACCTTCCACCTTCAACTTATACTATTATCAATGCTTTTCGTTTCTTCTTCTCATTCGTTATCCGAATCCGGAACCCTTTTGAAATTCAAATCTTCTTTAACCAACGCCAAGAGATTAGATTGGGAAAACAACAACAAGCCGCCGTGCGTTGCCCACCGCTCGAGTTGGGTCGGCGTCGTTTGCTTGAACAGCTCCGTTTTGGGTCTGAAACTCGAGGGTATGGGACTATCGGGCACCATTGACGTCGGTGCATTGTCCGGGTTTCAAAACTTGAAATCCCTAAGTTTTATGAACAATAATTTCGAGGGTTCCATGCCGGATTTTAGAAAAATTACAACCTTGAAATCGCTTTATTTGTCGAAGAATCGATTTTCCGGTGAGATTCCGGCGAATGCATTCCAAGGTTTGATTAAGATGATGAAGCTGTATCTATCGGAAAATAGGTTTACGGGTGAGATTCCTTCATCGACGTTAGGTCTTCCTAAGCTTAAGGAGCTTAAATTAGATCGGAATGGATTTTCGGGTCGGATACCGGATTTTCAACAGACGAACCTACGAGTGGTGAATCTCTCCGATAATGAATTGGAGGGTCCTATACCTGACAAGCTTAGAAAGATGGATAGCACCATGTTCTCGGGTGAGTGATTGAATTCATATAAATGTTCGTCATGCACTAACATGAATTACATAGAATATGAGTTGAATCAACAATCATAATTGGGGAAGGAGGACGAGTTTTACATAGAGACTTTCAAAACACTCCACTTTTGACTTTATTTATAAGGTTTTTTTTTTTAATTCAGTAGATTATATGAAGCAAAGAGTTGGGATTAAAGCAAAGTTAGATTTAAAGTAAAAAAAACATTCAACTCAACCTAACTCAAATAATTATTATAATTACTATAAAATCATTCTCTCTATATATTTTTTTACAATTAGGTCTCTATTTTTCCTAATAAAAATGAGATTTATATATAGGTTAAACTACAACAGATATAATTGAATTTTAGGTAGTGTATCATTTATACTATTGATTTTTCAATTTCTTCAATTATAGCACTAAGCTTTGATTTTAACGTCAATTATGTCATTGGACCGTTAAAATCTATATGGTGTGATGACATGGACAAAACAACATCGATTTAGTGCGACTATTGATTCCTACAGCGACGTCGTTTTAGGTACTAAACTTTAGGGTTGGATCAACTTTGCCACTAAGCTTTTAAACAATTCACTTTTTGGCATTAGACTTTTCCGACTGCCACCGTTAGTTAATCATTGTCTGTCATCGGATGTCTTTTGTAACAAGATCATTACTAATATATATTAATCATTCGTTACCGAAACTCACTCAAAATATATGAAATTAAACAAAAATCCATAATTTTTAGGGCTCTAGGTACTTTCTTAGATTTGAGGGGTTTGGAATCTAAACATTGAGAAACATTATTTCGAGAAGACAAACAACATATTTCAAAACTAGTTTCGTCAAACGTCCATAAGAGGAGATCGGAGTATTAACATGTCGAACCTTTAAATAGATTTTTGTTGATACTGAGTGAGTTTCGTGAAAAATTAATCTTCGGTGAAGAAAGATGGCTGAAATCCGAAAATTTTGATATTAATCTTGCTACGAGAGGCAACAATGACAGGCGAAGAAGTTTAGTGCCAAAAATTAAACCTTTTAAAGTTTAGTGGCAACATTGATACACCTTAG